CAAACTGCCTCTTCTAAGCAGTGATGTGATGGCTTATTTTCCCAGGCTGATCTATTGGATTCTTTTTTCAATAAGTGTCTTGCTATAAGTTTCTGGATAAAAGAGAGGCATGTGAAAGTTTACTGGAGATGGAAAGGAGCATTACATTCACAGGAATTTCCTTTCCTGTCAACTGTCTTTTCCTGAGACAGATCCTTAACCCTCCTTCTGAAACATATTTTGTCTTTGAATTTGGCAAACAGCTTTAAAGCTCTCCTCACTAGTAGAGAGAGTATTTTTTTTCTAATGCCTAGATTACAGAGAGGTATTCTGTTTCCTCTAGCTTTTTATTCACAATTTCAGCAATATTCTAAATTATTTTGAATTAATACAAATAATATTTCTTTCCTAATGACTTGAAATGATGATTAACTAATTTTTGAATAAAATGCATTTGTTCATATGCTTGCTTGACTAAACCTTTGAACACTTTTCCAAATCACTAACATGTTTGTAAACACTTTATTGTTTTTCAGTGTTTGTACCTTGTTTACAAATGAATAGTCATTTTTTAGAAACCTTATCTCTTCATGTACATGAGTACAGTAGGAGCTTTATATGAGTCAAAACTCAGTAATTACGATCATCATTGGCAAGGCTGGTTCAGCTACCATTCAGGCAGTGCTGGAGAAGTTGAAAAGTGGCATGGCTCTGTGATTCCTTCCAAAGAACAGAGTCAATTGCTCTTTTCACTTTCACATGGCTATCACTCCACTGAAATTGGCATTTTCACGTTCAGTATGAAACAATTCTTTATAATTTTACACAGCTTGAAGCAAGAATGGAGAGCAGAATATAGAGAGCATTCCTCACTGTATTTCACAAGAAGTTTCATTTAAATTTTGGAATACCGATGCACTAATTAAGTCAAATAACATCTTAACGCAGTTCTCAGTCTGTTTTGTATCTTAAAAATATATAAATGGAAGAAAAATGTCCAATGATCTAACGCCTTTGTCTGCTACAATGTTAGTCACCTGCATTGCAGAATACATTCCTATAATGGCAGTGGTAGGAGTAGCTTGATCTGAAATTCTAGTTTCTAAATAGCTGCAGAAATTATGGAGCTACATCAGCTAGATTGATTTTGATATTCAGAAATGTTGCCTTTCCAAATACATTCTGTTCAAATCAGAAAAAAACAATAGCTGTTACCATCCACATAGATCAGTACAGCAGTTAATTTTTCAGAACATGGCTTTCAAGCAAGGTGAGCTGTAGCTGCTTGAACAAAACCATGGTTTTCCTGACGTTTTGACCTATTCATCCTACAGTTTCATATTCTGTATAAACCCTTGACAACCAAAAATTCTATTGAAATTTGTATTGCTTTCTGAAGCATGCAATAGAACTCACAGGGGACACTAAGACAGCTGAAGTCCCATTCTTCTAACTAAAAAGAACATGATGCATGACATATTTCCAATCATATTTTATGGGTGAAGCAATACAATTTTACCATCATCTCTTATGCAGACATCATTTATCTGTTCACCACACTCATTAAAGTGTGTTGCTCATGGAGTTGAATGTCTAGCACTTTGGGTACAATTCATCTTACTGTCCTTGATGTCTAATATGAAAGCATTTAGTTTTCAGTTACTTGCCTATCTTCTCTTTTTCAGTCAACAGCTAAAAAAGGTCTTTTTGCAGCTGTGATTCACCTCTTCCAAGGCAGCTAAAATAACTGCCATTGCCTGAGAATATTTATACATCAATTTTAACTTAATTCCAAAGTCTCTGAAATATACAGAAGTAGTGAGAGTAAAGAAGTTAAAATTACAAAAAAAATAAAAATTATAACAGTAAAAGATGTGTTTGTCTTCATGAGAGTATTTGCTTCCAAAATTCATATAATATTGAACATGAAAGATAACTATCCACAGACATCCACAATGCATTCTTTGCATTTTTTTGCACTGGTTATCATTTAGAAATATTGGTAAGTGAATATGTTTCATGTGTTAATGGGAGTCACACCATTCAAATGCACTTAGATGTGGCTTATTTCCTGGTAGCACACACTTTGCTGTTTATTTACAGTTTTCATTCTAGTAGGTGCCAGTGTTCAAAATAGAAATGGAAGGTTTGTTGTGACTGCCATACTCTGACAATACTGTTTTTTGAATTACCACTATTAGTCCATCTGTATTGAAAAATGTTTCTTCTAAGAAAAATTGGCATTTTAGCATTCATTAATTAAACCTAATGTAGGCAATCTTCTGTGTTTAAAAGCCTTTTTGAAGGAAATGGAAGTTTTACCATTGAGTTTAACAAGTCTGGGATGAGAATTTCTATGCATTTTATATGGCTGTATTTTTTCCTAATATGGGAAGCATCTGAATGTCAGAATTTTATATTTTTTTTCAGAGTAAGTCAAGTTACTCAATCTTGTTAAAAAAAAGTAATTATAATGTCTTACATTTAATTTTAATATTAATTTTTAACTTTAAGTTTAATTATCTGTGATAGTGAGACAGTTTTCATTGATTCTCATATATTCCCAAATTAGTTGGGAAATCAAAGTGGCCGTTACTGAATGATTGCCAATACCTTTGATCACCAGAGATCATTTAATGTTATATACTGGGCGCCATTCTCATTTTATTTTCACTTTGTTTTGTATACAACATTAACTTGAAAGTTCAATTTCATCATGGAATATAATGTATGTATAAAATACTATTGTGCACATCACTGCACGTACATTTCTTTCCACAATATTATTTATTATTATTGTCATTGTATCATAAGATCATAGCTTGATGTAGGCTTGGAGGGAACTCTGGAGGTCATGTGGCTGAATACCTACACATAATTTTCTAATTTATCTTTATACTCTACTTTTTATCATCATTGACACATTTTCAAGAGATATTGTAATCACTTAGAAAAAAAATCTCCAAACAACTTCAGAAGCCAATGGGAAATGGCCTCTTTCTTTTCTGGCATTAACTCCACCTTATGCAGCAAGCACATGGATTGTCAGATGGATCTGCATGATTTTCCCTCAACCCACCGACTTTAAAATGTCAGCCTTTGTAACAGATTTTCTCAGCTCTGTTGGGAAATTTCAACTCCCACGAGGCTTCAAAATTTACATAAACAAATTCTCCTACTCTTATATTTCTTCTTTGCTCCTACTTTACAAACAAGACCAACAGGTATCTACTTAAATTTAGTGGCTGATGTTCCTTTGTTCATGACTCAGTCATTTGAAAAATTAAGACAGTCAACCTGTTCAAAAAACAGCTTTAGTATGATATAACATTAAGAGGCAACTAGAAATAGCAGCAATAAAGTAAGATAATTACTCCTTATCCAGAAAAAGAGCATAGCGACAGAAACAGTGATCTGAAAACCATTTAGAAGGCTCTGTATTTCTAAGTTCTTATCTCATCCTCTTTGACACAATAATTAGTCATCAGATGATGAATTAATTCTTAGTGGACAGGTTAGCAAATCAAAATTAACATTCAGATTGGACCATTCTTGGATGCTTAAGTAAAAGAATAAAGATAAAATGGTTGTGAAGACAGAATTATTTTTATATGTTCTGAGATCCCTAAAGGACAGATTCATTGTCAGGCTGATGTGAAGAATTATATTCTTAAGCTTTGGTCATTTTCCAGGACCAATAATTTTAGATTCCTAATCAGTATAAAATTCACTGGAGCAAGTTACAAAGAGTAGCTTCACTCTCTTTCATATAGAAACACACTTTAAAGAATTCAGTCTAAATAGGTTTCAGTGTAATTTATATAACTGCAAGGCCCTCCACAATGCCAAAGTAGTATGAGGAGCCCTTTGTGAAAATGAAACATGAGCCCATGGTACAAAACATATCCTTGTAGATACTTTTAAATGTGTGTACCTGGGTGTGTTCATTAACTTACACATTTTGAGTCTAGTTGATGCTTTTCTATATGAGGAGATATTAAGGGCTAATTATTAGGTACCACACATACTTCAAAGGTGTTACATACATTACTTTTTTTTTTGTCTTACTCTAACACTCATGCTGAGATTTTTGCCATGCTGCCTCTATAGGTTGCTAGGCAGCAAGGCTTTACCCTCAAACTGTGAGATCTACTCTGCATGCTGAGACTCTTTCCTCAGTGTTACTGAATATCCTCAGTGGCTTGAATCTTCTTGCTAAGGGGTTTCCTTGACTGGGAGCAACTGCTTCCAAAAGTCACTTGTTCTCTGTGGATTAGCCCTTTTCTCTGATGTGCACAAATCCTCTCATATTGTACTTCAAGAAATTCTGCAGCAACAGAGTCATGGTCCCAGTTGCAACAAGCCTTGTGTGGTTATGCCCTACTGCGTGCTGCATGTGCCAATTGCTGTGTATAAGAGAGTTTATGTGAAAAGTAGTCTCAAAATGGCATAAGGACACAAGTGTTTATATGTGCCAAGGATAATAAAAAAGTCATTTAAAGTCTCCAGCATCCAGAGGAGGCAACGAGGCCGGTGAGGGGGAACACAAACCCTGTGAGGAACAGCTGAGGGAGCTGAGGTTGTTTAGCCTGGAGAAAAGGAGACTCAGAGGTGACATTATCACTCTACAACTTCCTGAAAGGTGGGTGTAGTCAGGTGGGGTTGGTCTCTTTTTCCAGGCAACAGGTGATGGAATGAGAGAACATAGCCTTAAGCCATGCCAGGGCAAGTTTAGGTTAGAAATCACAAAAAATTTTTCACTGAAGGAGTGATTGGGCATTGGAATTGCCTGCCCAGGGAGGTGGTGGAGTCACCATCCTTGGATGTGTTTAAAAAAAGTCTGGACATGGCACTTAGTGCCATGTTTTACTTGACAACGAAGTGTTAGGTTAGGTCATAGGTTGGACTTGATGATCCCAAAGGTCTTTTCCAACCTAGTTCATTCTGTGATTCTTAAAGCTGTCCTTTGTTTCTTTTATTTATTTATTTATTTATTTTATTTTTTATTTTTTCCCACCTAGGGCAAGTTCTGAATGTACTGGACAAGCATAATCTGAGTAACAAAACTCTTGTATACTTTACATCTGACCAAGGTGCTCATGTTGAAGAAATCTCCAGTGCTGGAGAAGTCCATGGAGGATACAATGGTATATATAAAGGTGAATATTCACTGATTGTTCTGAAAAAATGCAAGATGAAAGCATCTCCTTGGGTTTGCACCAAAACTGTAATGTACTGTGTGGCCAAGGATAAAATCTTTGATCTAACTGAAATAAAGTAAGAATGTTTTTTTTTTATTCTTTTTAAGGAAATTCAACAAGTCTTCTTGTCTCTTTATGAGAGATTAATTTCTTTTCATTCTTTCACTAACTAGAGGCTGTGTGATTTGTTTTCCACTCATATTTCATGGGTCAAGATAAAGAAATCCAGCAATTTTTGGAAAGTCATTCACACAACTTGAAAGTTTTGGTTGTAGAGATAACAAAGTAAAATGTCCTTAGGTCTTTCTTTGGTTTTTTGGGTTTTTTTGGGGTTTTTTTTTTGTTGTTTTTTTTAAATATATATATATAGTATCACAGAACTACAAAATCTCTTAGTAGTTGAGTCTGAAAGGTATCTCCCAAGGTCTGCAGTCCCAGCCCCTGCAGAGCAGGGTCAGCTGTAGCACATTGCTCAGGATTGTATCCAGTCAAGTTATGAAAATCTCCAGTGATGGAAACTTCATAGCATCCTTGGGCAACTTTCTCTAGTATTTAATCACACTCACCATAAAAAAAAAAAAAAAGCAAAACCAAAAAACCTTTTTCTTTCGTTTAAATAGAGTTTTCTGTGGTTTAGTTTGTGCTCATTGCCTCTTGTCCTGTCAGTGCCCTCCCACTGAAGAGTCTGGCTCTGTCTTTTTAACTCAGGTAAATCCATCTAATCCCTACAGATGCATAAAATCCTGCTAAGCATTTTCTTCTCCAGGATAAGCATCTCTTCAGCCTCTCCTCATATACTGAATGCTCCTGCTGCTTAATCATTCATCACCTTCCTTTGAACTCATTCAGGTATGCCCATGTACCTTGTACTGGGGAGTTCTGCACTTGGACCCAGTGCTCCAGGAGTGTTTTACCAGTGCTGCGCAGAGAACAAGACCTGCCAGAAGCATTTTTCCTAATGCAGATCAGAGTGATGTTGTCCTTCCTTGCCAGAAGGGCACATTGCTGGCTCATGATCAGCTGGTTGCTCATTAGAACCCTCCAGTTCCTCTCTGCAGAGCTGCTTTCCAGCAAGTTGTTCCCCAGCCTTTGCTTTGCTAGAGGTTACCACTGTGAAGATGTGGACTTGATATTTCCTTTGCTGAACTTAATGGGGCTCCTTTTGGCCCGTTTCTCCAAGCCTATAAAAGTCCCTTTGGATGGTAACACAACCTTCCACTCCTGCCAGATTTATATCACCTGCAAACCTTCAAAAAGGAAATAATTCAGGCATACAGAGTAAGCAATAACCTTACAGAGGGGTTTTCAAGCAAGAGGACCCCACAGTTTTTAGTCAGTAGGTATCTGTCTGAGAAATGACCCTTATATTTTAAGAGAGCTTCAAAGTAAATTCCACACAAGAAAAACAAGGAATGCCACAGTCATGAGGTCTGTATATCAGATGGGTCCCTTTAGGCTAACATCAGAGTGAAATGTATCTTGAACGTTAGCACATAGGCCTTGCACAGTGATCTAAGTAATTAAGGAACCATATGGTTACATATCTGTAGCCGTAGGCACAGCCTGAGGTGTTTTAGAAGCTCTAAAAAATATTTGCCTTCTAGAATGCCAGACATAAGGTACAGGATAAATGATAAGGAAGGAAAAAACACACTTGGGAATATGTCTTCCTGAGGAACTTTGATTAAATGGAGTCTTTTCTCTCAAGCCTTGTAAAATTTTGTATTCATACCTACAGTGCAGAGAAAAAACTTGAAATAGATCTTACCTGGATTAAGAAAAAAAAACTGATTGATAGGATTATTTGGGTAGTAATGGAGCTTCTTTTTAAAAAAAAGGAAAAACTGTGTGATTTGCAGTTAACACCTGTGGTGTGCTGACAAATGGGTTAGAAAATAATTACAATGTAAGAAAGAAAATTATTATTTGATAAGAGACATTCTTAATAAAATAAAAAAAAATTAAAAGACCCATGTAATTCATTGAATATACTGCTAATGTTTTAAAATACAATGAATTCTGCTTTGCATTCCACTCCCTGCATCTCAAAATCAGTCCTTAATTTAACAGGTATATTATGCATCATTTTCAAAAGGACTTAAGTAGAAATGATCATTTAACTGCATAACTAGCATTTTTCATACATAGGAATTTATTCATATTAGAAGTCACATGTGATAAAAGTGTCTACATCTCTGGCAGAGTTAATGAGAACCAGACCTATGAAGCTCCAGGACTCAGGCACTGATACAGCAATGTGCCTAAAAAAGCAAAAGGACAATATTTATGCTGCTTGTGCTTATGTGTGCACACACCAAGACTTTGCTTCCTGTGGTGTGCAGTTTAAAAACGTGAGACACGCACATCCTTTCTCCCTCCCTGTCTCTGCTAGTCAATCTCCGCTATTTATCTTTTTGTATCTGAGTGCTGTATAAATGCAAATATGAATCAAGCCACTTAACCCTCTTGTCAGAGCTGGAGCAGTATGCTCAACAATAATTGGTTCTGCCCCAAAATCAAAAGCTCTCAACCGATCTCCACAATTCTAACTCACTAATTTCTCTTGATACCTAGCCAAATAAGCAGCAATAATAAAATTTAAGAGGGGTTTGGAGAGTTAAGCTAGTGCTGCAAAACTCCATGCAAAAAGGAGAAATTTCAGTTTGAAGGTTTTAGTACTCTGTATTCTAACTACAGAACAGTTCACCATAAATTTGGATAGCCCTTGAAATTAGAAACCAGAGTTTACATAATGTTTAACCAATTGCTGTTGTACAAGGTCTAGTTTATTTCTTCAGTATTCCTTTTCAGAAAACATTATATAGTAATACAATGTCTTTCCAGTGGCCTTTTTCTGACAGTTGGTTGTAAGGATCTGTGTAGTAAATAAAATCCCTAGGATCCTAATCCTAGACAGTATAACCTCGGTTTAAGAAGTGATTCCTGACAATTCAGATTCTACGAAGAATCTTAACAATAATTATACAAATTTTTATCATGTAAAGATTAATTTCCACTTTGAGTCTTTCTAAAGTCTGAGCATAGCCTCTATCACTTGTCCATGAGAACACAGTGCTTTCATTTACTATTTTGAAATGAGATAGTTGCAAATTTCATGGAACATCTTGAATTTTAATAACATTTTCTCACAGATATAGCATAAAGGAGGGAAGAGTTTTAGATCTTCCTTAGCTTATATTTGTTTTGTATACTTTTACAGTGCCTCTTTTCAGAGGTAAAATTCAGAAGATAATTGTCTCTTCCATCTCTCTTACAATTTTTAACTGATGAGTTTTTACTTGTCCCTAATTTCTGGATATTTTCCTAAGTGAATTACTTCCCTTTCAAAACTGAAATAAATATACTAAAATAGTAAGGGGCTTAACACAGCGTAGCATCAAGGTACCTTACTATTGTTTTGGGGTATTTTTGCAAAGGGTCACAGGCTTTTTTCTCTTTCTGTTTCCTGACTGGTATTCTGATTTTGATTCATGACAATCCTTTTTCTCCTAACCCATGACTAATATTCCAGTAACTTCTCCTGAAGGTCTTTGTCAAAGATCTTTCAAAGGTTTAAATCTAGATACAGCTTCTAAAATAAAAAATAGTGGCTATTTTAGTAAGAATTTCTTGGCAACAACTGAAGGCCTTCTTACCTGAACTCATGAAGTACTCCTGGTATTTGTATGAGATACTATTAATACTTTAATTAAACTAAAAATATTAACAATTTAATTAATACATTAATATTAACAAGTTAATATTGAAATATTAAAAGTAATAGGTGTAACTGAAATATCTTCTTAAAACTTTCTATATAATTTTTCCAGCTTTTTTTTTTCAGTCTGTGGTATTTGTCTGTTGAAAGTACAGAATATTAAGGTATTGCTTGTGTATATGATTTCCAGGATATCTGCACTGACTTCTTCTTAAGTGTTTTTCACTAGCTGCCTCACTGAAGCATGTCCATTTGACCTAGTCAACATAGCTTTCCTTTAGGAGCAGAAATAAGGTTAGTTTTTCCAAATACTTCGGATTTCTACTTTCAAATAAGATAAGTAGAATACATAAATGAGTAGAATTTCCTCTATATTAACATGACTTACAAGATGACTGATTTAAATGAAACCATTTTATTCGTCTTTGGTACCCTGAGATTTTGAATCTAAATATTTTGTGGTAATTTCTATTTAGTTTCTTAGTGAGCAATTTCTTAAATTAGCCTCAGTGTGCTATAATATATCTGTATCTATATCCATATCCATAATTTATAGCAGTAAACAAAGAAGGCAATAAAAACTTTTCTCTACACTTTTTCTCACTATATTATTTCACTGGTACATACGCAGACAGTACAAGTCCTCCCTCACCGTCACTTGTGTCTCACTTTGTCACATACAGGACTTTCTGTTCAATCTCCTTACATCTTACTATCTTTCGAATATGTACTTGTTGCCTGTACCTCAGACCTGCATTAGAAACAATCTTTCATTGTACTTATGAAGCACTTAGCACAGTGCAGGCACTTGGCTACTGTCATCCTGCCAGAGTGGTCCTGTGTTCTGCTGCTAATGGAAGTGGAGCCAAACACTGATAAAGCCAAACTTTGTGAACAACATTCATTTTGAGTGCTTTGTACCTTTGTAATAGGTATTGTCATAGTTATTTGTTAATATCCATAAAAAGTAATAATTAATGTTTCCTAAGGACTTAGACCCTGTTGTTTTTTTAAATCTACTCCAGATCTTTGAGGCCAAAACAAGAAATGAATACCCAATTTAGCTTTTTTTATATTTATTACGTAAAACAAGTTTGTATACTGCAGTGATAAGTTAGTTCAGGCTTTTGAAGCTGTTAGTAAATCTTTTTCTTCCTGTAAGCCACAGAGAAATCAAGCTGACCGTTGCTTTGACCCCAGGAATCATGGTTATGGCATATCTAGTGATATTTGTTGGAGTTTATTTTTGACTTTAAAGAAAGCAGTAGTGGATCTTTTTTTTCAAATGTGCTGTATTACATTACTGTATTCTCTCTGAAGTGATCCAGATTTTTAAATAATCAACCCATCTTCTAATTTTGACTGAAACAAAAAAAAGTCTCCTCAGTGATCATTTAATTTGACTGGAAGAAATGTTAGATGAGAAACATCCAAATGAGCCATGTCTATTCCATTCACCTGTACAAGTGTACCTCAGATAAAAAATTAAGAAAAACAGTACATGAAACAAGTTAAAAATCAGTAAAATAAAGAGTAAACTTGTCATTAAAAATAAGTTGTTGTTCAACCATTTTATAACGTAAGCAATAGTACCTAGTCTTGATTATTAATATTTGTGGCATAAAGTCCAGTATAGATGGGTAGAATAATTAATGTCTTTGTATATCTCTATCATTTAAGAGAATAAATGAGGTTTGGAAGCTTTGTTTTTAAGAAGAATGTATGAAGGCTAGTATGGTTACAGTCCAGGTGATTTAAGAAAGTTATTTAAATTAGTTTTCATCATTCATAATGTTAATAGTGATTTACTGCAGAGTTCCCCCTTATATATTTTTCTTTGTAAAAGCTCTATTGCCAGAGTTATGTAATAGCAGTCAATTTAAACCAGAGGGGGGAAAAAAAAGGATATATTCTTTTAGCTAAGATTTGAAATGAGGTTAAAATGGAAATTTGACATCATGTTGTGGATGACTGCAGAGAGTTATGTCTGTATTTTGGCTGCTCCTGCAGATTTTTCAGGAAAGGTGAATGTTGGCTATTGTTCCATATAACACTGAAAGGTGCAACTACTCAGAAAGCATAGATAGCTAAGGAGGAAAATACAGCCTGGTGTGTTTTGTGCTGTTGTAAAAACATGTTTAGAAGAATATAAGAGAACAAAAATAAAACAAAGGTAGGTTGCCTAGTATTTGCACAGTGTTGCAGTCTTTTCTCTGTTTCTATGTTGTCAAGTCTGAGCAAAATACAAAACTAATGGGCCAGGTCCTTAAATATCAAGAGATTTTGTTTCAAAATAATGACATTTTGTGGATTTTTTTATTGTATTAGCCTTTTAAATGTTTGCTACATATTTCAAGCATCAGTAGTAAAACTTGATTTTTTTTTCTTTAGGGAAAAAAGAATGCAGATATTTTGAACAAAGTTTAACAGCTAGAGTTTTAAAGATGATTAATGTCCAAGGATTTGTAATTGTGTAATGTCATTAAGCACCTGTAGTCACTAAACCCAATTCTAATAAAAATGAGTACCATGTAAGCAGAGATAAGAGAAGACAGTCTTCTGCAATGACCTGCAATTCCTGCCCTGATTCCCTGCTATTCCCTATCTCCAGAGATGTAAAAAAAAAAAAAGTGCTCCAATTAGCCTTTTAAAAGGAAAACAGCAGTCACTTCTTCATAGACGTAAGTGAGGAGAAAGCCCTGCTGTGGAATCCATTTTGCTTTTTCTACCTTACAGCAGGGCATCAGAGTTTGTGGAGTATTCCTTTGTGCTTGGGAAATGTGTAATTTTTCTGTCCTTTTCTGCTGATTCAAGAAAATTGTACTGTGAATCTAAGAGCTGTGAAAGTAACCCAGTATCTAGGTTTTAAGAGTTGCAACATGTGTGAGAATCAGATTTACCACTTTGAAATTTCTCTGTCTTCAGATTACACAGGAGACAGCAGTATAACAGGACTTTATTTAAACATCCAGTCTAGCACTCTTATTTGGTTCAGACAGGTATACAGAAGCAAAAAGAAAATGATACCTAAAGCTACCTAAGGTACAGATCAACTCTTAGTGTTGTCTGTCTGCTGATACTGTTCATCCATAAAGCTGTTGTCCTGTGTTCAAAGGATTAGGATCTGGCTCATGAGCTAAATCACCTCCCTGGCTGGGAGCTGTTCCCTTAGCTGTTCACTAAAAGTATGTTAATTTGAGGATATCTGTAATTTTATGGCCTTATGCTTGAATTTTTATTTGGATTTAACAACTCCTACTCAGCAGGATTTTCTATGCACCATAGCTTAGTCAGGTTATTAATCTTTCCTGCTGTTTAACACCTAATTCCCACCAAACGTTGAAAAACCTAATGGCTGTTGTACAGGGGTAGAGTTAACTTTTCTACAGATGGACACAGCTTATTGACATCTACACTGATCTTGACCCAGCAACATTAACAACTGATCAGCTTTTGGGTGAACACTTCCTTCTGGTGACAGGTGTTCTACATCTCAGCAAACAACATTTATGAACTTAAATCTACATTTTCTTTACAACTGTGTTTTGAAAATATTATTTTACTAGAATGTAAACAAAAATAGGACATGCATCTCTTCTTAAATTTTAGAATAGTAGTCAAACACTTCATGATGAGAATGGAATTTCATTTAACTCAGTGATGACTGTAAACTTTTAAGAATGTTCTAGAAGATAGATAATCCTGTTGAGATCTGATCTTGACACTGTTTGCAAAAAAATCTTCAAGCAAATATTGTTGCTTGACATAAGGCTGAATATTAGAAAATCTAACTTTCCTGATGTCAGACTAGATGTGTCCCTGCCTATTCAATATTATGAATTGTGATTCATAAACCCCATGAAAAAAAATAAGCAAAACTCTGATATAACGAGCTAATGGTCACAAGAAAAGAAAAAGATTAATTTATACAAAAAAGAGTTGTCTATCTTGAAGTTACTGCTTGCCTTTACAAACAATGAAAATCCTGTAGAAAGCCAGGTGGATTCTGAACCCCTGTTGCTGAAATAGAAAAGATAATTGAGAAGTCAGTAAAATAGACAGCATGTACGACAAGGCCTGGGGTCCATACCTCAATACCAAAGATATTGACATCTATAAGGTATATTGGGTGTTTAAGATGCTGAGGAAACAGAACTGTTGAAATACTTTGTTGTATTTTTTTTTTTTTAACCTGAAAAAAGGAGATACAGGAAAAAAAAACTCCTGTGGTAGTTTTGACTGAACCATGAATTGCTATGTGATTCATTCAGTGACAAAAGTCCAACCCATATACTTCTGTTTTTCCAGACATTTTAATTGTATAAAATAATCTCAATTTATTTCCAAATGGCCCTGACCATGTTTAACCATATCCAAAACCTATCTGTTTAACAGAGGCTTCTTTTTCAAGTGATATATTAATTTCAAAGGTCACCCTGAAGTGCTCTACATAGTCACGACTGTGCAGCACATTGGTAATAACATTTGTGGTGCCTTTTCATACAGAGTCATGTCAATTATTTATTCAGTAATGGTGAACATGCTGTCATAGACTAAACCCATTACTCTTCTGCAAAAGATGTTGCAAGGACTGGGCAGTGATGGATCTTGTAGAAACAGCAAATGACTGCAAGTCACTGTTGAATGCAATCAGTTGATAGTGCATTTGATGCAACTGTGTTGTTTAGAACATAAGTTCTTCACAGCATCCTGAAAGTTAACATCACTGAAGTGAATTTCTTTCTAATGCATTAAATTCGAGAATTCAGTAACATACTTAAATGTTCTTAAAAAGTACTTTCTTCTATGTAAAGTCATTAAGCACCATTTTTAATAAAATATCATGTACCTTCTCTGGGTTCATAGCTCCTACACCTAGGTATAACTCTTTTTTTTTTATTTTATTCTTGTGTTTTGGTTATAGGTTCACATATCTATAGGGCACACTATCTAGGCCAATTCCCATGTGAAGATTCCAGTGAAGTGCTTTTTTAATCTCCTACAACCTCTTTTTTTGTGTAATTTAATGCATTTTATAAGCTCTGTCTAAAACTTATGAGTAAATTTACAGTGAGAAAGTACTACAGATGGTAGAAAATCCAGAAAATTAAGAATAGGAAAAATACATCTAATGGAAATATTCTAGCTAGACAGAATCTTTAATATTTGGAAATTGAATCTTACGGCATGACATTATCTAAGAAGAAATTGATTTCATAGCAAACAAAACTATTTTTTTCAGGTGGAAAATCAACAAACTGGGAAGGAGGTATTCGTGTGCCAGGTCTTCTCCGCTGGCCTGGAGTGGTGCAGGCTGGTGCCCATATTGATGAACCAACGAGTAACATGGATATATTTCCTACCATAGTTAAACTTGCAAATGCACAGTTACCCTCTGACAGGTATGCTCTGTACTCATCTCTGTTTTAGGGAAAGTGTCATAAGTGTTTTATACATTCTGGTGATATCTATGAAGATAGAGGTGAAAATGTAAATAAGAAACTAAGTTTTATACTTGCAATATTATTTTGTCTCTTTTCATATTGACGTACTGATAATATTTTACAGAAATAATTGTATATAGTTGTATGTAAATACAGCTTAACTCACAGACAGAACAAGCACCAAGCACCAAAAACATAACAGAATACCATCAGAGCAATGCACTGCCAAACCAAACTTGAAATTACTTGCTGAAAGCAAAAATGAATGTACCAAGACAAGATTATTTTCTGCATTAATGAATTTGGTGGAAAAAGAAACTTTACATGTAAATTAGTTTAAACTTAATGAACTTAGCCTTGATCTGCTTAATATCATAAAACACATAAAATGCCATCTAGGCTCTTCTCACAGTTTTGTTTGGTTTTGTTTTTTTCTCTGTACCTCGTTAGTGAAAATAATCCCATACAGAGTTTTGCAGTCTGATAAGAAAAGCCACTGTACTTCCACAATTAATAAGATGCTTTCCTGACACTGCTACATCCCCAGGCTTTATCTTATTTGAGAGATACACAGTCTCACTGGCAAGGTGCCTCTGCCTAAATGCTGTTGCTGTCCAAATCCAGTAAGTGGAGAAGCCTGTTGATACGCATATGCTTTGAACACATGTGTGACTCAGAAACCGCTTTTGAACACAAAGCATCAAGAATCCACATGGGGAAGCCCAGTGGTGAGCAGAGTCACTCTGCTAATGATTATTCATTGAGTGTTTGAAGGAAGTGGCAGGGCAGGACAAGTCTAAGACATTAAAAATTAGTCAGGGTGGTCCTGAGAGATGCTCTACAAGCAATAATTCAGTTGAACCTCAGAAGTTCTGATTGTTCTTTACGTGGCAGATCTTATGCATTTTGTTTTCATATTGCTTGAGTGAATACTAAGTACTGATGTTTTCCTTGATCTCCTTTATAGAAATTCAAATATACTTGTGTAACTTCCACTTGTAGGTTGTTCCACTGTGATTCTTCTGTGTTAGACTGATGCCATAAGTACTGCTTCATCTTAGGTCATGGACCAGCTTAAAGTATTTTTTGTTCCAGCAGCTGGGTTCTTATAGCTCCACTGAATTCTTCCTGGAAAATAAGAAAAATTAATATAATTAATATTTTGTCACTGTGAGGGAGCAGGTTAAAAAGAAACAGAAGAGATGCTCCTAATTAAAGAAGAGAAATTAGTAATTGGAAAGAAAAGTCTCATATATCCTCTGAATCCAGCAGCTGTAGCAATGCTAGAGCACTGGAGACATTTTTCTGGAGATGCCTTTTTCCCCATGAACAGGCTTTAGAGCAGAAAGTGTTCAGTAGACATGCATCTGTTAATGAGCAAGCTAGCAAGACAAGAGCCTGTTACTTGTGCAAGAAAACATGAAAAACTGAAAATGGGAAAGACTGTTTCAACAGACCCCCCACAGACAGGGATTCACCCCAATGACAGTTATCAGACAAGACAGTTTTCAGAATTCCAGGAAGTTTTCATGCCCATCCTTTGAGAAAAGTGTTACCCTGAATGGCTTTGTTGCATAAAGTTGCTGACAATAATTCAATCATCACATGTGACTTAAAAAAGTAAACTTAGTACCTGTCTTGTAGTAGTTACACTAATGTGAAAAATATTTTATGTAATAGTAATGAAATGATCATATATGTGAAAGTAAAGAAAATCAACATAGACCATTTAAAACTTTTTATTAGTTTCAAAATTTTATGGGATGTTGCTCAAAATGCTTGAGAAAGCATTACTTGCTGATCTGTATATCAGCAAAAAGTAATCTCCTATAAAAATTTGTAATTCATACCAGGTCAAAAATGCAGACTGTGATTTCTCCCTTGCCAGCTGATGTCAGCAATTCAAAGGTTTAATTTAGGGAAACAGTTAAAAGTCTTGCTTATTTTGTAACTCAATTTTTATGGAAATTGACTGATTCCTTCAAAGCATGATCAAATTGTCCAACAGCATTTAGAGAATTTATGTATATTTATGTGTATGTGTGTGTTTGTAGTTGATGAATGCATATTTAAACAGCTCCTTTTCAAATTTGAAATTACCACTTCTATCTTAAATTCTGGCATACATAATATGTTGGACAGAGATATTACCACTACTTTTGGGGATGCTAGCACAGAGCAAAATATTTTCTCTAGTTTCAGGGTTACTTTGGCCAGACCACTCCCAAAAACTTGAACAGGTATATGTGTTGGACTATGTTGTAGCAATTTATTCTCTTATGTCTGTTCACTTTCTCAGAAGTGAAAAAAAATATAAAATGAGGGAACTATTCATAATAGAAAAATGTAAAACTGTTTCCTTAGGTAATGTAAAAATCAAAAGGAGGAGCACCTGAAGGTTTTTCTCCAAATTGACCACTTGGAGGTGACCATTCAGATTTGGGTTTTTTAAGCAGCAGATGAGCAGAGTTATAATATCTTCTTAGGGAAGTAAGGTTTGAGTTATTTTTCTGATTTTGAAATGCTTTCTTACTCAGGATTATTGATGGACATGATCTGCTACCTTTACTTCAAGGAAAAGTTACTCGATCTAAGCATGAATTTCTTTTCCATTACTGCAATGCATATTTAAATGCAGTGCGCTGGCATCCAGGAAACAGTAAGTAAACTTGCCTGTTCACATTTTAAATATTTAATATAATTTTTATTGCAGCTTGAAAAGAATCAGGAGGAAGCCTTGGGCTGTAGTGACAAAAAGTTGTTAAAAATATCTAGCCTTTTTCCTTCTCTTTCCCTTTTGTCTTTGCTGTTACATTCACCATTTCACTGTTTGACATTATTTTGTTATTATGTATTAATGTTAAATATGAATGCAATACTGAGATCTATGGTATCTGAAAATGCATTTATTTTAAACCTTCATGAGAGAGAGTCTGTGCAACAGAATGACATAGTCAAGGCTGACTCTCATTGTCATAAAAATGCACAGGTAATAGGATGGTTTTCTGAATGACAGCACAAGTATGATGTCAGTCTGACCATTTTTATTATTCAGATAGTAAAACAGAAGAATCACTGAATCAAAGTCATAATTTTCCAATAAATGAATATAGTATCAGAGAGTCCATTTTCATGCTTTTTATGAATGACATAATTCTCCATTTTTGCCATTATTAGATTTCCACTGTGCTTCAGTCCAGACTCCCTTTTTTTTTGTTTACTGTTTGACTCATAATATATATATAAATATAGATAAATATATATAGAAATAAATAAAGAGAGAAATACATATTTCTGGTCGTGGTTTTAAAGCAGTAACTGAAAAATTATTGGAAAACTTACTTATTACTTGCTGTGAGATATGGATTAGAACAAGAGCAAAACAGGCTTAAAACTTAAAAGAAATAAAGAAAGTTTATTAAAAAATAAGTAAGGATAAGAACACCAGAATAAACCTCCAGAAAACCCCTTTATCCTCCACTACCCAACCATTCCCTTGTTCACATGACAACATAGAGACGAAAAACTTTGGAACTTTGGTGTTTAAAACAGTCCCAATTCCTGCTAGAGTCTTTTCATCAGCCTTTGTAGAGAAACAGAAGTCTTCTTCTGCTAATCTATGGAGTTTCTCACAAGAAAACTATTTCTGTTATAGCTTTCTATTTTTCTCATGCCAGCTGCCCGGAAATCCTGTCATCAGTTCACTCCTCCCCTTTCACATCACTCTGAGGTGTGTATGGGTCAATGAGTCTAGGGATGTTATTTTTAAGGATGAGTTATTCAAAGGCAAAAATTCTCTTCATCTGTCTCTGTGAGCTTCCCTGGAAACAGAAGTTTTGTCTTTGCCTCTACAACAGCCCCAAATCTTCAACTATTACTTCTCCCCTCTCTATTCCAGCACCTCACTGTATCACAATTACTCCACCTTTTGCTCAAAATCCACACTTTGAACACTCCATTCCTCCCCATATACTCTGTCATGAATTTAAAGGAGCTTTTTCAGAACACTATTGTCTATCTCCATAGCTTTAACAGAAAAATATTTCAGCTTATAAAACATCTCCTTATTCTCTCCCCATCTAAAACTTAACTCTTTTCTTCACGGTCTTTGATGGTTTTATGATGTCTCTTTCATGCTGATTGTCTGTCTCTCTCTCTGTCTCTCTGGGAAAAAGGAGTAATCTGTAAGTTTTATCCAGTCAGTAAAAGTTAAAGTCTTGGAAAGCTGCAGATGTTCATGGTGTCAGGTTTCAGTCCAGCAGCAGAAACTACAAACCAAGCCAGGCCGGCCGGCTCCGTTTCTCTCCCCGCCGCCCTCTGCGGCCTTGTCCGGCCTGGAGGGGGGAGAAGGCCGAGACAGAGCCTGTTAACTCTTCAGAAGCTGGAAACCAAAGAGAGCAAGAGAACCCTGGCTTTACATCTTAAGGTGGTGTTCACAAGTTGATCTCACTTTTTCAATGGTCAAAACTGCTGTCAATTCTTAGTAATGACCGATAATTGGTCAGGAGAAAAGACTCCCAACAGCCACCAGTAGCTTCAACTTCCTTAGTTCCCAAAGCTATCTTAAAGGTAAAGTCACCCCATGACAAATATATATAATATATATTATATATGCTATATATCTTATATATGATATAAATATTTGTATATAATATTACACATCATATATGTATATTTGTTTCATATATATGAAAGAAATGTAGCATACGTTAAATTTTTGGTAGCTGCACATCTTTTTCTTGCTTCTAGTCTGACTTATGCAGGCACATTTCTCACATCATTCAGGGAAGGTCAGAAACTTCAGAGTGAACAATTACCATTTTGCATTTATGTATTTAGAGGCTAAGAGTTCCTCATAACCAAATCAATACACATCTTCATTAACTTATATTAGTTAGGTCAGTTATTGCATTCACAATGTACTTTCCCCTTCATCAGTCCTTTGAAGGAGCCTTTAGAAGATGGCTATGCAATGCAATGATCTTCTCAGACAAGTCTTCAGAATTTAAATCTTGTGCTTTCTAGAGCCATGAGGAAAGTAATCTCTTAGGTTTTTTTCTCTTTTCTTTATCTTTCTTAGTCACAGAAATAAGCTAACACCATTTTTTCTTCATGTCACTTTGACTCACATTTTACCTCTTCCTAGAAAATAATGCACATAATCCTTCACATTCTGAATTTTAAAAAATGAATTAAATATCAGGCAATTTTCTTTTGCTCTCACAGACTTGAGCATGCTGATACTTCACAGAATCACAGTTACAGAATAAGCTGAGTTGGAAGGGACCCACAAGGATCATTGAGTCCAACTTGCTATAATTGCCTTGGAAACAGCCAAGATATATAGTCCTAGTCTTTGAAGGATGATTTCCTGTTATTTTGAAAATTTATAAATATTTGAAATTTAATTTATCTGTTAAAAATACAAAGAAGAAGACATGTAAAGTAGTGATTTCCCATTATCAATACTTCTGCACAGCTGCCTGGTATACCACAGAAGTACCAATAGATAAAAGCAACACCTTTAGAGAAAAAACCCTGCATTTTCTTTCTTCCTAGTTGGGTGTAATTACCTAGGTTTTTAAAGCTCTGAGTAATTTTTTTTAATCATTAAGCATTTATGTTGAAAATAAAACAAATGTAGGATCTGCCTTTACTTGAGATGAGCCACCCAAAATTTTGTGTTGCTTTCTGGGATGTATGTCAGATGATACTTTGGCCTGTTTTAAGTCTGATCACATGTTCTTCTGCTGGAGCAAGTTGACCAGTACTTTTTTATTTGCTAACTTTATAATTTAGAGTAACTGAGTACTAAAAATCTACCAAGAGCAGTGTCTCCAGAATATTACTGGCATATGAATCAGTACTAATAAAAATGCTTTGCTATGACAACTTAATTATAAGGGGAGGATTAATCAGATACAGAACAAATCTATAGTTGAATGAAAATGCATCTTTCAGGCTGAACTGATTGTGTGCAAAATTTTGATTTGATAAGGAGGAAATATATTATCGTGCTGTGTAATAAACATTGAGAAATATAATACAATATAGTCTGCATTTTAAAGAAATAATGATCTTCACAGTATTGTTTTACTACTGATAAAAACATATTAACGTTTCTGATAAATGCTAAAGTGACTTTACTAGCAGCACTTCACCTTTTCTATTTCAAAATGGATTTAGTTATTCAGTGGAATATGTCATTCAGTAAACAAAAGAAAAGGAGATTTTCTAGGGCAAGTTCAATTGAAGCAGACTGGACTGCAGTGCCAAACTGGCTTATCATGCAAATATAATGACTTTTAAAGACAGCAGAAATTCACTGAAAAGCTTTATATAGAAATTTCCCACTTTGCTTCACTTAACAAACAAGGTACATTTCAATTAGTGCTTATATTGACTTTCTTGAATGTTGTGAACTACCTCAATTATTGAAATTATTTCAATCAAATTCACCAATGCGGGATGCTTTCTGTAATATCACAAAATCAGTTATTCTGATTCCTGGCTGTTGCAATGTTCTCCAGCATCCAACAGTATTTAATGAGAAATATTTTGCTCTATGGCTAGGGGTTATAGACCCTTCTTAGTCATGAATTTATCCTTTTTCTACATTTTCAGCTGTAAAAATTGAAGTTTGAAAACAAAAAAAATGTAAATGAGAAAGAAATATTTTGGTTTTCAGTTTTCAAACTGAATTTATAGGATAAATTTACAGAATAGTATTTTGGGTTTTATAAGAGATTACTCCAGCTTTACTTTGACTAGAGACATTGGAGTCATAATAAAGAGAGGATAAAGCATGAAAAGTCTTTGATGGGTCATTTTGCAACAACTTTTGGTTTGCAACCTTTCTTGTGAAATTGAGTTAAAATGAGACCTGTTTCTGAAACAATTAAATATGAGGAATACCTTCCACTTTTCCTTACTTCTCAAAAGCACAGTTTTATGCATGCCTTAAAGGGTTACCTTATAAATTAAGGGGGCTTGCATTATTTATGGTGCCATTCTTAGCTTAATTTTTTGTAATATCACATTCAGTGTTAATAGTTAAAAACTGTAAAATGAGTTCATACGCTTAAAACTCTGGCTTGTGAGCATAGTATTGTACTCAGAGGAAAAACACAGAACTTGGAGTTTAGACAAGTAACAGAAACTGGAAAGCTTCTATGAAGCTCTAGAACCAGTTTGAAATGTTTTTCCCACAGTCAAGTTCTCAGTGTGGGGGCAGGCAAATCTAGTGGTCATCTCTAGCAAACAGAAGTGCATTAATGTGTATATAAGGGAGATTTTTGAGTGTTATGTGGTGCCAAAACATTTGTTTGTAAATGCCTGTCCTTCCTTGTTTGGTCCTCTTAGTGCAACTAAGAAATACAATTATCCAGACATCCACAAAGTAAATTAACAATTTTGTTTGCTCTGAATTAGAAAGTATTAGAGTTTTTCCTAAGTACTTGGTATTTTAAAGATATCTCTTAATATTGCTTCTACTTTCTGAATATAAACAAGAAATTTGAAATAATTTATTCTCTAAAGCCTCGTAAGCTTCTTTTTTTTATTACTTTCTTAGTAATAAAAGAGGAAATTTTTCAGTGTGTTTTTTACCATAGGGTGAACAAATGTTACAGCAGCTTCATTTGTAAGATATGGGATGTT